CCATGGACTGCAGCACGCCAGGCCTCCTTGTTCATCACCAACTCCCAGAGTTTACCCAAACTCATGTCCATTGAGTCGGTGATGCCATGCAACCATCTCATCCTCTGTCGTCCCCTTCTCCTCCCCCGCTCAATCTTTCCCAGCATCAGGGTCTTTTCAAATGAGTCAGTTCTTTGCATTAGGTGGCCAAAGTATTGGAGTTTCAGCTTCAGCAACAGTCCTACCAATGAATAATCAGGACTTTTTTCCTTTAGGGTGGACTGGTTGGATCTCCTTGCCGTAAAAGGGACTCTCAAGAGTCTTCTTCCAACACTGCAGTTCAAAAGCATCAATTCTTCAGCGCTCAGTTTTCTTTACAGTCCACCTCTCACATCCATACCTGACCACTGGAAAAACCATAGCCTTGACTAGATGGATTTTTTTCAGCAAAGTAATGTCTCTGGTTTTTAATATGCTGTCTAGGTTGGTCATAACTTTCCTTCCGAGGAGTAAACGTCTTTTAATTTCATGGCTGCAGTCTTCCCTATGCAGTGATTTTGGAGCCCCCCAAAATAAAGTCAGCCACTGTTTCCCCAGAGGGCAGACGGACTGGAACCACAATCACAGAAAACTAGCCGATCTGATCACATGGACCACAGCCTTGTCTAACTCACTGAAACTAAGCCATGCCATGTGGGGCCACCCAAGACGGACAGGTCATGTGGAGAGGTCTGACAGAATGTGGTCCACTGGAGAAGGGAATGGCAAGCCACTTCAGTGTTCTTGCCTTGAGAGCCCCATGGACAGTATGAGCAGTATGATCCATCAGATGTTCGCAATTTGATCTTTGGTTCCTCTGCCTTTTCTAAATCCAGCTTGTACATCTAAAATTTCTCGGTTTATGTATTGTTGAAACCTATCTTGAAAGATTTTGCGCATGACTCTGCTAGCGTGTGAAATGAGTTGCAGTTGTGCTGTAGTTTTAACATTGTTTGGCATTACCCTTTTTTGGGATTGAAATGAAAACTGACCTTTTCCACCACTGTTGTGTCCCTATAGAGTAGTTTCTCTGCCCTAAACATCCTCTGTGCTGTACTTATTCATGCCTCCTTCCTTTTAAACTCCTGAACACCACTGATATTTTTACTGTCTCAATATTAAAAACTGGCTTTGGCCTTTTCCAGAGCCATGCAATATATATTTAAGCCTCCCCTGTGTTTTTTCATAGCTTGATAGCTAATTTTGTTTTAATCCTGAGTCATATTCCAATGTCCGGAGGCACTATAGTTTATATATTTTTAATTTATTTTAAATTGGGGAATTTTACAATATTTTATTGGTTTCTGCCATTTATCACATGAATTGGCCATAGATATACATGTGTCCCTCCCTCTTGTATCTCCCTCCCACCCCCTCAGTTGTCACAGAGCACAAGATTTGAGGTAGGTACTGTCATTTATTTATCCGCCCATCTACTGAAGGGCATCTTGATTGCTTCCACGTTTTGGCAGCTGTGAACAAAGCTGATGTCCATATCCATGTGCAAGTTTCTGTGTAAGCAAGGTTCTCAGCTCCTTTGGGTAAATACCAAGAAGCATGATTGCTGGATCTTGTAGTAAGAGTGTGTTTAGTTCTGTAAGAAACTGTCCACTGTTTTCCACTGTGACCATACCATTTTGCATTCCCTCTGGTGATGATGGAGAGTTCTTGTTCCTCATCCTTGTCAGCATCTGGTATTTTTGTTTTACATTTTGGGCAGTGTGATGCTTGTGGAATGGTGTCTTATTGTTTTGACTTGAATTTCCCTGATGACCTGTGATGTGTAGCATTTTTTCATCTACTTATTGTCCGTTTCTATATTTACTCTAAGTGTCAGTTCAGATCTTTTCCTCATTTTTATATTAAAAATTTTAAAGGTATATTTACTCATTTATTTGGCTGTGTTGGAGTTTAATTGTGGCATGCTGGATCTTCATTGCATCGTGCGGCATCATTTGTTGCGGTGCCTTAGTTCCCTGAGCAGGCATATGTCCCCTGCTTCGCAAGGTAGATTCTTAACCATTGAACTATTGGGGAAGTCCCTAGAAATACGTTGATTTTTGTATGTTGATCTTGACTCTGGTAACCTTGTTGAGCCAACTCACTAGCTCTAGGAGTTTTTGTTGTTGTTGATTCCTTGGGATTTTAGATGTGTCAGTTGTGTTGTCTGCAAATGTGTGTGTGTGTGTGTGTGTGTATCTGCCTATAAAAAATCACTCAGTTGAGTCCGACTCTTTGTGACCCCATGAACTGTAGCCCTTTACAGGCTCCTCTGTCCATGGGATTTACCAGTACTGGAGTGGGTTGCCCTTTCCTCCGCAGGGGGTTTTCCTGATCCAGGGATCGAACCCAGGCCTCCTGCATTGCAGGCACCTTCTGTAATGTCAGCCCCCAGGGAAGCCCTGCACATTGGGAGTTTTATTTCTTTCTTTCTTATCCATATGACTTTCTCCCCATTCTTTTCTTTTTATCCTTGCTGTTTAATTCTACTTTTTTTTTTTTTTTACAGTTGTTATTATTTTTTAAACTTATTTTTGGCTGTGCGTGGTCTTTGTTGCTGCGCGGGGACTTTCTCTGGTTTCCGTGAGCTGGAGCTACTTCCTCTCCAGTCGCGGTGCACGGGTTTCTCGTTGTGGTTGGTTTCTCTTGCTGTGGAGCACAGGATCTAGGTGCACAGTCTTCTGTAGTTGCAGCATGGGCTCAGTAGTTGGCACCTCTCAGAGTCTAGAGTTTGGGCTCAGTGGTTGTGGCCCTTGGGCTTAGTTGTTTTGCGGCCTGTGGAATCTTCCTGGACCAGGGATCGAACCTGTGTCCCCTGCATTGGCAGGTGGATTTGAGTGTACCACCAGGGAAGTACCCCCTCCCCTTTCTTTTCTGTTTTGTGTAGAACTTCCAGTACCATGTTGAATAGCAGTGGTGAGAGTGGAGACCTTGCCTTGTTCTTGACCTTAGGGGGAATGCAATCATGATGTTAGCTGTAGGTTTTTGGATAAGTAGTGTAGTATCTAGAGCAATCATTTAAATTCCTGATTCTGGAAACAACCTTTTTATTTTCCCTGGAGCTTCTATAGAAAATTCTTTTTAGGGCTCAGTGTCCTGAAATGATGGACATGTGGTTCAGCTATTGAATTCATTGTATTAGACCTGCAAGGGGCTTATAGGCTCATATTTGTTTGTTCTATGAAAAATTTTGAAACATTTCATGGATTCTTTCCTCTATTTTTCTCTATTCTTTCTTTTTGGAATTCCTATCTATATGTTGGAACTTTGAGATGGTCCTTTAACAATTCTCTTGTGCGTGTTTGTGTTCAGTCGCTCAGTGGTTTCTCGCTGTTTGCAACCCCATGGGCTGTAGCCTGCCAGGCTCCTCTCTGGATAAGAACACTAGAGTGGGTTGCTATTTCCTCCTCCAGGAGATCTTCTTGACCAGGGATCGAACCTACCTTCCGTGCATCAACAGGTGGATGCTTTACCACTGAGCCACTGGGAAGCCTGTTTATGTGTATATAAATTAATGCTGTTTTTGTCTTTTTTTGTGGGTGTTTTTTTACCCCCCCCGACTCTGTTCTCTAGGAAATTTTCTCTTATCCTTGCGTTGAGTTTTTAAGTAATATCCAACATCTTTTTAATTTCCGAGATCTCTCTTTCATTTCTAAGCATCAGTTTTTCTTTGCATTATTGCTTTGTTTCATTCTTGAAATATGTTCTTATATTTTTAAAAAATTATTAATGATAGTTTCAAATTTTTTTGGTATTTTTAGCCACATTTCCAGGTGATTTTACCTATTTGTAAGCAGCAAACTAAAAAGTTGATTGCAAGTGATGTGTGTTTTGCATTCTCTGACTTCATTCAGGGTACTTTGCTTGTGCTGTTTCTTGGTGTTCTTTGCTTGACAGTGTCTTTCTTTCTTCATGGTCTGGCTGATTTTTATTTTCTAATATATTGCTACTCAGTTTACTAGTCTTTTTTTAGGATTTTACACTGTTGTACATTGAGAATGGCCTGAAATTTTGAGGTTTTTAAAGTTTCTGTTGACCTTCTTTTATTTAACTTTGACATCAAAATTATACAACTCTTAGGTAATTAGTTGGTGGAATTGGGGGTGGTTTTCTGATTGCATGGAGAACATGTGTAAAATTGAGGTTGTTGCCAATTTAAAAAAAGGTTTTAAATGTTTGTTAATTTTTAAAGTAGTTATAGGTTTATTTATAGCTTTTCTATTTTCTGTTCAGTTGTATAAATGTATTGATTTAAATGAATGTTTTGCTGTCTCTTTAACCATAAATATTTTGAGAGAATGAAAATAATAGGGATATACAAGAATACTTTTTGAAGTTTTGTTTTACATTTCACTTCATTTTCCTTATCAGGTGCTCAAAAGTGTGACAACTTTGCTGAAAAAAGGCCCCTCCTTGGTGTTTGTAAGAGCACTGGATCTTCTGGGTAAGGAATTTAAAAAAAGTTTTTTGAACCACTATTAAAATTTTGTGTTATTTCAGAGGGGGGACTTTGTGTCTTCAAGTCTTTGTTTACCATAAGACTATGCTTTTACAAGAGGGATGGGACAGGACTTAATAACATATTTAGGGTTTTTGCCACACAGGCCACTTTATTTTTCTGCTCAACTGTTTTCTTTCAAATGTAGGTGATAGCAGGACATGAAAGAAAGCCAGCAGTATATCATAATTCATGAAAGATTAGCATCATTAAGAAAATACATTTCATTTTGTTTATTTTTTTAGTATTTATAATGGCCTTTTTCAGTGGATTAGAAGTTACTATTATGTCATCATCATCGTCAACTGTTATTAACATTTTTTTTTTACATTGTTTTGAGGATCTTTTTAAAAAATTTTTATTTTATATTGGAGTATAGTTGATTAACAATGTTGTGTTAGTTTCAAGTGTAGAGCAAAGTGATTCAGTTATACATATACATATATCTTTTCTTTTTCAGATTCTTTTCCCATGTAGGTTATTACAGAGTGTTGAGTAGAGTTCCTCCTTTGCTACACAGTAGGTCCTTGTTGGTTATCTGTTCTCTATATAGCAGTGTGTATTCCATCATGCTTTCATGTTTATATTAGAATATATATTATGATCCTTAGGTAAGATGTTAATGGAAGATAAGTTAGTATATCTTAATGGTAATAATATATAGCATAGTGTATATTGTGTATTAGCCAACAATTTATTGTTGTTGTAGCATGTGCCTAACACTGTTCTAAAGGCATTACATGAATTTCCTCTTTTATTTCTGTTAGCAATATTTTGAAATAGATACCGTTCTTATTCCTATTTTGTAGTTTAGAGAAACTCAGGCACTGAATTCTTACAGTGAAACTGTGGATTCAAACCCAAGCAAGCATACTTTTTTTTTTTTAAATTTTTATTGAGTTTAGTTGATTTTTAGTGTTTCGTTTCAGGTGTGCAGCAAAGTGAATCAGTTATACATCTACATATATCCACTGTCTTTCTAGATTCTTCAAGCAGGTATACTCTTAGTTCCATGCTCATTGCATTTGTGACAGTGAGAGGCTTACTAACTAAGATGATTAATTGTTATTGCTCATGAAGTCAAGTTTTCCCTACTTTCTCTATATATTAAATGAGAACAATATTCTTCATAATGGCTTGTAGTGATTTAGTTATCAGATTTGTAGTGACCTTTTCACCATATAATTCCAGTTAGGAATTATTTTCAACTGCTGGTAAAGTTCCAATGGCCTATACAAACCTTGGAAGTGAATTACTGGGTAGGCAGTCGAGGGCCAGTGAAATGTTTCTGCCATGTGTCATTAATCTAGATTCTTTCCATTTCTAGCTTTGACATCTTTTAAAACATGACCCCTTCCCTTTATGATCTCAAAAAGGCTACTATCTTATCAGTTAGTGTCTCCTCATCTTGAACTCCTCGCTGCAAGGAAATCAGGGATACTACTGGGGTTTTGTTAGTAAGATAGAGGATCAAAGTGAGTATTAGGCCTGGCAGCCGTAGTCTTTGCCGTGTGCTTTCCGCTGATAGTGTCTGGGCCATGGGTGCAGTGCCCAAGGAAAGAATGTGCTAATGGAGTAACGTGGTTGATCTTGGGGTCTTCATTGTTGCTTTCTGGGGAAGTGGTTTGACTCCATGTGTTACAAGGCAGTTTTCTTCCAGTGTAAAGTTTTGGGTTGAAGTGAGCAAAAATTAACTGTGTACTCATCACTTTGCTAGGTATGGGATAAGGATACAAAACATGAAAACCTAACTCTGTGTCCCACAGATTTAAGAGTATTGTTGAAAGCAAAAACATAATACACAGAAAATGATTATGGGATAATGACATCAGCGTGCACATGCACGTGTGCTCCGTCATTCGACTCTGTGTGACTGCATGGACTGTAACCTACCAGGCTCCTCTGTCCATGGAATTTTCCAGGCAAGAATACTGAAGTGAGTTGCCATTTCCTACTCCAGGGAATCTTCCTGCCCAGAAATTGAACCCTCGTCTCCTGCATTGACAGGCAGATTTTTTTACCACTACCCCACCTGCAAAGCCCAGTGACTAATTGGAATTCAAAGAAGGTAGAGGTCAGTGTACCTGGATTGACAGGAGAAGGCCTCATGAAGAAGGCACAGCATGTGCTGGACCTAAAGAAATAAGAAAGTTTGGCAGTGTTATAGAAGACGAAGAACTTCCAGAATAGGTTATAAAGGTGTAGCTGGGGAACAGAAACTGGTAGATATATTCTTAGGAAAGATGTAGGTTTGTGACTTACAGTGAAGTTCATCTGCAAGATAGGTAATAACAACCGTTTCATTGCTCTAGAACTCAACTGAAGGCTTCCAACAATGTGAAAAGTGTTTATGTTTGAGAGACTGGTAAATATTAAGTCATTGTGGGAATCTGTGGCATTCATGCCTAGAGCTGCTTGAGTCACACTCCACTGTTTGTTTCCAACTTGGTTGATTCTTCCACAGTGGGGAATGTCATGGCCATGCTCAGCAGCATTGTCCATGGAACTTATGGTTATGGGGTTGTGTGGGCCCATGGCTCTTTTAGCCTAAAATCATGATCAGCTAAGGCTTCATGTATGTGCAAAGGAGCCGTGAAAGCATCTAAGGGAAACTAAAACCTGGGAGACTTGGAAATATCTGACTGTTGAATGTGTTCCTTTGCACACACAGAGACCCTTTTGGAAAGAATGACAGCCTTTATTGACTCGGGTGGTTGAATAAATTCTCTGTTGAACCTTTGGCTAATCATTAAGCTACATAGACACAGGGGTGGCCCCCAGGAAAGCAGGCTTTAAAATGAAAGCAAGAATTAAAAATAAAATCCAGCAGAGGCATTAGTAACTCTGTATTGTGGAGCAAAGTAGCTTTCCAGAATTCTTGTACCACACTATAAAACATGTCTAATTTCCAACATAAAATTATGACACATGCCAAGAAACAGCAAAGTATGATATATTGAGAAAAGGAAGTAGGTGATAGAAACTGTTGCTGATTGCTTCCAGTGTTAAATTTTGGAGACAAGGCTTTTAAAGCAGCTGTTATACATATGTTCTAAAAACTGAACTAAATGAACCGTGTTTATGGAATGAAAGGAAAGCTTGGTAACAATGACTGGACATATAGAGAATCTCAGTTAGAAATAAGAAATTATAGAAAAACCAAATGGAAATTCTAGAGTTGAAAAGATAAAAGTGAAACGATAAGCTTGCTAGAAGAACACAACACTATATTCAGGTCAGCACATGGATCAGAGAACTGTTACGTTAACAAGAGAGGTGAAAGGGAATGGGTGGGCTTGCTTGGTGGTACAGTGGTTAAGAATCCACCTGCCAATGCAGTGGACAGGGGTTCAATCCCTGGTCCAGGAGAATCCCACAGGCCACAGAGCAGCTAAGCCTGTGCGCCACAATTGCGGAGCCTACACACTACAACTACTGAACCTACGTGCTGCAACTACTGAGACCTGTACTCCATAGCGAGAAAAGCCACCGCAATGAGAAGCTGCCGTGTGCAGTGTAATTCACTAGAGAGCAGCCCCTGCTCTCAGCACCTGGAGAAAGCCCATGCAGCAACAAAGACCCAGCACAGCCAAAAACAAAATAAATAAATAAATCTTTAAAAGGAAAAAAAGAAAGGGAATGGAAACCCCAGAGAAGAGTTGAAGAAGTACCTGTGGTGAAAGAAACCTTCCTTGACTTCACTTTTCCTGATGTTTATTAAGCCTCTGCAATTCAGGCACACCCAGTCCCGTTGAAGCCCCACAAAAAGATGTGTTTGTGGAAGATAGTCAACTATTTCCTGAGTTTGGTTTGCAAGTGTTGAAAGATTTTCCATTCCTTAGCAACCCTGCTTAACTGTGTGATTAAGGTTTTTATTTTTTTTGCCTCCCTGTGTGGCATGTGTGATCTTACTTCCCTGACTAGGAATTGAACATATACTCCCTGCAATGGGAATGTGAAGCCTTAACCACCAGACAACCGGGAAGTCCCAAGGAGATTATTTTTATTTTTACAGGATTCATTTATTGAGGTGTCACTTGAATATATATATATATATATATATATATATATATAGTAGGTGATGAGATTATTTATTGAGAGATGACTCTGATGGTATGTGGGTTATATTAGTCTAATCTAGAGAATTAGAACCAGTGGGAAGTGGGATTATATATATGAGGAGAGAGGGAAGAAGGGAATGGGGGTGTTGATTTTGAGAAATTGACTCATATGATTGTGAAGCCTGAACATCCAAAATCTGCAGACTGAGGAAAGAGTTGCAATTTCTAACCCTCTTCCTCCGAGGAAGTCAATTTTTTGAAGATTTTATTAAGACTTTCAGCTGATTGGATGAGTCCCATTCGAGTTATGAAGCATCACCCACTGTACTCAAATTCTGCTGATTTAAATGTTAATCTTATGTAAAAAAAAAATACCCTCACAGAAATATCTAGAATAATATTTGACCAAATCTGATTTTTGTGGCCTAGCCAAGTTGACACAATAATCACCACAGGGGTGATGAATATAGTTCTGATTAAAATAACATTTGTCTACTGGAAAAAAATCTATTGTAGACACTCATTTCCCCACTCCCTTGTCTCTCTTTAAATTTATTTCACAGTAGGAGAACCATTCTGCAAAGAGATGGCTATATGTCTGTATCTTTTGCTGGGTTGTTTTAAGAATTGTTATTGATAAATGAATGTGAAGATTTTTCCTTCTTGGTTTTAAGCACAGCACCTTCTAACTAGTAGGGCCCCAAACTATTTATTTTTTGCTAAATGAATTTTAATAAGTTTTCTGTACAGTCATACTCATCCTTTATTTGAATATTAGTAACACTTTTTTTCTTTTAAATGGTTGAGAAAATGTCTTAATCTGAGGAACCATGTGTCCTGAACCTGGGTGCTGATGTCTTCTTCAAAGCCTGTGGTGCACAAAAT